TAATGACTGTCAGCAAACCTTGAATCAATTTGTTACGTCTCCGTTTGTTAATTAACTTTCCGTAACTTCGTTCCGACGAAACTTTAACGACACAAGTCTTTACTTAATAAAACTGGTTTATTCTTTCCGAATACAACTCTACGATACACTCAACTTCAACAATCGCGTTATAACAAACTATAATAACGAACGTTAACTACAACAATACGTCTCTCTCTGACTGCAGTTCAATTACTCACTGACTACCCAGACATTACATTCCCCTCTTTTATATACCAGCCTACCCTATATCTAGTAAGAACTAGAACATTCGCCAAAGTACATGATAGTTCTAGAACCGTTGCGTCACGGTGGTCATGTGACTCGCTGACGCAACATATGGTTTGTGTCCCGTTGCTGCTTGATGCGTTATAATAGTGGCGGTTAAATCTCGGTTTTATCAATGTAGCCTAAGGGTTGTAAATGAGTACTGTTGACAGGCTACATTCCCTCTAGTCTATCATTTTAAAATTAAGGATACTAACACAGATAATTATTGTGTAACTTTGCGTGAATATACAAAACAAATAGAATTTCCTAACAATGAGAAAGCTTGACTTCAATTGAAATTATTTCACAAGTTCTAACGTAAACAGGTTTCTGTTTGGAAATTTCAGTTCACTCATAGTTCAAGGAAACGTTGCATCGCTTGACACCAAATACAAAAGAAACTACACGTGTAATTCTGTGCCCTGACTTGGACAGAGCAACAGGGTATGAACATAAGAAAAACAGCTAAATTTGGTAAATAACAATAATCAAAGCTATATTTTACCCAGATGTCACATGTACAGGTATTTGACGTAACAAATTCATTAAAAACTAAACGTCATAAATGACACCATCCATGACCGTCAGTGCACGTGCAACCTGGACCACAGGGTACCATGAGACTCGAGATTTCCAAGTCGTTTGGACCTAAAGGGTATTTCGACTATATTGTGAAATAGCGGATTTATTTTCGTACAACGTTTCGTCTCTAACAGTGAGACATGATCACGCACAACATTTATGGTACAAGTACATTCGAAGTGTAAATACATCCAGTCAAAAACGTTTATGATACTGGTTTCCTTTGATGCTAAATATAATTAATTTAATATAAATATAATGACGCTCTGATGTTTTATTAATGTTAGGTTTTAATTTATTGATTCTTAGTGCTTCCAGATTTTTTCTTTTGTTTGGGGTTTTCTCTATACCCAGGACTGTAACATAACCTTTAACCTTTCTATCTGTGCTGCTGATCTGAACTGTGATTATCTAAAAAAAAAAAAAATTCAATCAGTAGTATCAGGTGAACTTGTAAACGTGTATTCGTACTTCAGTGCAGTGTGACCAGAGTAACATTAGATAAACCTACAAGTTTCTTGTCATTCGTGGACTGTAACAGTTATCCTTCCCGCTGGTATCTCCAAAGTTATTCTTTCATAATTAAAACATAACCAGAATATATGGCGCTCTGAGATATAAAACTGTGTGAGAAAGTGTAGCTTGGTTTTTCAGTGTGTTTCAGCCATTGCTATAACCACTACATAAACTGGAAGTGCTACTTGAGACTGGTCAAAGTTCACCATTAAACGCTACCTGTGAATTATACAAAATAGTAATGACATTGTCTACATACACTCAAGAGAGTCCATGGCTCTTGAGCATACGTTGGTGAACAGTTTTTATAACCTCATCACAGAACTAAAATTCACCTGATAAAAAGCTATACTAGCAGATAGCATCTGTATGAAATCTATAGCTTAAAATGCTGATGATTGAGCCAACGTCCACTATTACTACTTTCACAAACTTAGTACTCAGATAGCAAACATCCCAGCCAATTCCAATAGTGTTTAAGTCCCTGTGTCGGTACAGGGAAAAGACACCAAAGCAAAAAAATAATCAAACTGCCCATAGCTATAACATACATTTCTTCTGTACTTCCTTTGGTCACGACACCTCTATATCCACATCATCAGTGCAGACTGTGAAGCAGGTTTGAAATACATTTGCTGTTTAGCTAGCAGCCACTAAAGGCAAGCCAAACCATCATATGGCATCTGCAGATGTGGCATTACCTGTTACAGCTTCCTGTAGTATGGAGCTGGTATACTTGAGAACTGTGTTTTTGGAAGAGTCGTTGCAGCTACAATTTCATACCATGTTGCCATGTAAAAACTTCAGTTACAGTCATGATATTTCTTAACACCCAATGATGTTGCATAGACTCACTAGGGGCCCTTTTACAACCAAGATATTATTCCAGTCTGCTGCTGATATGCTTTACAGTGTAAATAGTAGCAGTGTACACAAATCAGCTTTTGCAACTAAAGGTGGGTTGGAAAACTTGGTCTGGCCATCTATGAAAGTGTCATCCAGTGAGGGATGTCAACAGTGTTGATGCTGGTTTTTTTTTTATATCAGCTGACCTACTTGAGATAAAGCAACTTGATTAGCACTACCTCTTCCTGCCCCATGGCTGACTGGTTCCTTTTGAATTTTTGAGCAAAGCTATATGAGGGCTAGCCGCACTAGCTGTTGCTAATTTAATAGTGATAGACAAGAGGGAAGGCAGCTAGTCAACATCACCCACTGCCAACTCTTGGGCTACTCTTTTACCAATGAAAAGTGGGACTGACCATCAAATTATAAAGCTACCATGACTGAAAGGGTGAGCATGTTTGATGATGGGAATTTGAAGTCGTGACCCTAAGATTTGGAGTCGAGTGGCTTAATCACTGGGCTGTGAAATAAAGATGAATTTTACTGTGTTTATAGCATCACATTTAATCGTTTTTTCATAACTAAGTCAAAATTAAGAGAACTTGGTTAAATTCAATAATAAAAAGTTTGATTGGTATAGAGTATACCAAAGGTAGTTGTTGTACTTCTGTTATTTTATAACAGAAAAGGATTTTATTAATGATATTTTAAATTGGAATTAATAAATGATGAATTTTTATTGTAAAAGCTTTTTAATATTTGAGTTTTGGTTATACAATTTCAGACAACCTAGCATGATTTTTTTTCAAAACTAGAGTAGATCTATAAAACATTTAATTCATTGCAACTAGATCCATATATCAAAATTTGTCAATGCAGCAGTTTCATCAATTAAAGTTTAAAAATTCCTTATATTATCTCATGATTGAAAGAGGTGTGAAAAATACTTTAATATTTTAATTGATTAATCTTTAGGTTGAGAAATTAAAAAAAAAATTTATCTGGAGTACCGTTATTGTTTCGAAGCACAGCATCAATGCTGCACAATGGGCTATCTATGCTCTGTCTACCACAAATAATCGTAAACTTACAGTTGGCTCACCAGGAGGCATCAGGAATAATAAAGCTAATAATTATCACTATTTTGTATGATTGCAACATTTATTTTGATGTTTGGACAATTTTTTTCTTATCTTCCATGCCCCTGTAATAACAAGCAGTGACAAAACGTTTTATTAACTCCACCCCATTAAAATTTTTCCAGTGTTTCAAAATATTTTTATTTCCTCAATTCTAATATTCAAAATATGAAATGCCTGAGACAATTACCTCACCTATTGCTATACCACTGATAACAACCAATATAAAATAATTGGTACCTTAAAGAGATTTTTACCTAGGTATTTAATTTGCCTTAAAAGTTAAATTGTATTCTCCTGTTCATGAAATAGTTGAGTAAATTAATATTAAGACACTATTTCCTTTAAGTATTACTTTGTGTACTAAACTTGAACAGGTTTTTATTATTATTATTATAACTAATTAATTTGGTGCTACTTTTAGAAAACTGTTTTCCTCAACAGATTTGACAGAACCTTATAATAAAGAGATGTATGAGCAGGATAAGTAAAAATACATAGCAAGCTTCATAACAAATAGTAAAAATAATATTACATGTTGTTTTGGTGGAATTTTAGGCAAAGTAGACATATTAGTTTTAGGAATTTGAACGGATTGCAACTGCCTGTTGAAAGAAAAAGAGACAATGTTTCAGTTTCTATACCAAGTTCTTCCTGACAACCTAAAGAAGAACAGAGTATAGAAGTGAAAACATTGTCTCCTTTTCTTTCAGCAAGCAGTTCATTAAAGTTATCAAAACTAAAACTGTTACATGTTAATAAAATCGTTACATTACTTTTTAAGATTAATAATGAATTCTTCAGAAAGTTATTGCATCTTCACCCAATTTAGGAAGGATATACTTTTATTAATAAATTCGCAAACAGATCCGAACAAAAACACACAACTGTGCAACAACCTTTGTTCACCTACTGGTATTACAATCTCATGGAAGAGGAGGAAGCTTTTCACAGTTCTCATCGATGGAGTAAGAGGTTACAACTTCTTGTTCTGAAAAAAGTAACAAGAACAATAAGTAAATGCTGCTTTGGAAATTGAGAACCAATTTCAGTCAGTAAGTCACTGTCACACATAAGAAATCTTTTGAACAAATCCATAACAAACCTTAGCTCAACATAACATTTCAGAATAAGCATGTCAAAATAAACTGTTCATTAGAGAAAGTTAGTGTGCTCAGTAATTAGTGTAGAGCTCCTGGCTATACTTTGTACCTTACAGGTCCAGCAAAGATTACATAAATAGTTACATTTTATTATATCTGTTCAAATAATAATAATATCTCTTTACAGCTTTAAAATCAAAAATAAATATTTATGAAGAACTTAACTTTCTCATACCTAGTTCATAATAATCGTACAACCGGATGGTAGCTGGTTTCGTTTCTTGGACCTCAATATCTTGCTCAAGCCAAAAGTTAAAGCACTGCTTCTGCTCTGTAAGCTGCAAAATAACACATTAACAAAAGTAGTGAGATGATACATGATTATATTGTTAATGATATAACATGATACAAATATATAGAAAATGAAATTTAGATGTTTAAATTACATAACAATCATGCTATTCACGTAAACCAACAAAGTAGATATCTATAGTTTACTTTTCTTATCTGAAAAACAGTCTCACTCAGATCATTCTGAACCAAAATTAATAGCAAGCACTTAAAGTTGTTTCAATTTACCAAATCACCAATATATTTATGTTCAATGTCTCTTAACACTTTAATAGTAGCTTATTGTATCTAACACACTCCTCCTCAACATATCTTAAAACTTATTATACACCAGATTTAAAGATTGTGATTTTTTTTTTCTAAAACTAAACTAATATTACTAGAATGTTAAGGAAATATAATAAGAGTACACATTTAATACTGTGAAACTAAAACATCTTTCTACCTTTGTAAACTATTTTGAAATTAGAGATTTATATTTAAGATCATGATTTCTAGTCAGGTTTTTTCTTCTCTAATTTTATTTAAATTCAAATTGCGTTTTCATTAAGTTCAGAAACACTATCCAATTTCTAAAAAAGCATAGTTCTGATTTTTTTATGCATTTTATTAAAAATGCCTTCTTGCTATGCAAAATTAAAAGTTAGTAATTTTGCCAATGTAATTAAGTCAATGTATCTTCATTAACAGTTTCCTGCTTAAATTTCAGTTTTTTTTCAAAGATAAGTAAAAATAATAACAATAATCATTCAGTGAAAAAATCTGTTAGTTTTGTTAGATTTTGCACTCAGCCCTACTTTAAAAGAAACACATTGTAAAATAGCAGTAATAGTTTTATCAAATAACTGCTTATAACAAGTTTTTGTTTTTGCTATTTCAGTCATTCCTAACTCTTGAATGGAGCTTCTGAAAACTCTAACTAAAGCAGATTCATTCAGTGTATCAGAAATCACTAATATAGTAAATCACAAAAGAAATGATATGAATTATCATCCACTGAGATTCTAACTGGTCACATATTCTGTAACAATTTTTGTTTACTTTACCTCTTGTATTAATAAATACTTAACTTACCAAACAAAAGAAAGTTTGTGCTAATTTAACCCAATTTTACCTCTGAAAAGTACAAGTTTAGTTGATTTCCATCCACCTCATAACGACGTAAATTTAGCTCAGCTCTATCCACAATCTAAAGAATAAAACCACAGAAAAAATGTAAATGGAGACTACTATTAGTGCTTTGTACTAAACTTACTGAAGACAGATTTAAAAAACAAGTACACATTACAAATTAACAAAGAAAATAAATTTGGTTTATTTGTTCCTGAGTGAAAAGCCACAAGTTTCAAGATCCAAATTTTTGCATCATAAGTCTAGAAGCTTACTCCTGAGTCTCTGGGAGGCAAAAATTATACTACAAATATAATTAAAAATACTTTAAACTGTGCTATTTCATTGTTATCATGTAAACTCTTATACATATCATAAATATCACATGTAGTAATGCACAAGTTTCACAAATGGAGAAATTAAAAAATATATAACTTAAAAATATATAAAAACTTACTAGTAATAAATTACACTCTCAAAGTCTAAAATGCCATAGATCAAACACATCTCACGTTTTTAATGCTTTCTTCATCAGGTATCCATCCAGAAACCATCTTCATCTCCAGTACGGCCATGTTTGATACACCACCTTTACCATCATACCTGAAAACAATGTTATTGATTAGCAGCAAATTATTTACCACAAATTAGACTTTAAAATCAATATAATTATGCTACATACTTAGCATTTCCTTTAAAAGTTATACCCAATAATTGATTTTTGTAGTTTCAAAACGTAAATGAAGGTTGATATTTACTTTACTTTTGTCTAAACTTAGATATATCTGAAGCATTTTCAAACATACAAAATATTGGATAGTCAACATGATTTCACTAAGGATAATCTTGCCTTATGATTCTTTTGACATTCTTTGAAAAGGTTACTGCTTATGTAGATGAGGGTAAGAGTGTAGATTTGGTGTATCTGGATTTTCTGAAAGCATTTGACAAGGTGCCACATAAAAGGCTTGTAAAACAATTATCACTATAGGTGTGGTGGATAAGTTAGCAAATTGCATAGAAGAGTAGCTGGATGGAAAAAAGCAGAGGATTGTTACAAATTTAGTTCAGTCAAACTGAATTAATGTTACAAGTGAGGTACCTCAGGGATCAGTCTTAGGACCTTTGCTTTTTTTTGGTTTACATCAATTACATAGATGAAGGGATAGTCAATAAAGTACTTAAATTTGCAGATGATATTAAGGTCTTGGGTGTTGCTAGCTGTGAAGAGGATGCTGCTGATTTACAAAAGGATTTAGATCATTTAGTGAGTTGGGCAAGTAAATGGCAGAGGGGTTTTAAGTATAATAAATGGAAGATAATGCATGTGGGTTATCATAATTTCAATTATTTGTATAATTTGGATGGAAATAACCTTAATACCATTGTGAAGGAAAGGGATCTTGGTGTAATAGTCGATTAGTCTCTAAAGCCATACAAGCAGTGTGCTGTTGCTAGTGGTAGGGCAAATACGATTTTAGGTTGTATCTATAAAACTATTGAATAGAAGTCTAAATAATTTATAATTTCTTTGTATAGGTTGTATACAATTTCATTGTATTTCATTGGTTAGGTTATATTTGGAGTAATGTGTTCATTCTTGGGCTACTTACCTTAGGAAAGACATTGAATTATTGGAAAGGGTTCAGAGAAGAATTACTAGAATGGTGCCTGGGATGGAGGGGTTGTCATACAAGGAGTGGTTGAAATCTCTTAAACTGTTTTCTCTTGAAAAAAAAAGAAGAGTTGGGGGAGGGGGGGAACTGATTGAGGTGTTTAAGATTGTAAAGTGTTGATGCATCATTTTTTTTCATACTTAAAAGTGAGAATACTAGAAGTAGGGGGACACAATTATAAATTTTGGCAAGGTAGGAGTCATCTTCAGATAAGACTGTCTTATTTCTCTATCAGGGTGGTTGGCCCTTGGAATGGGTTGCCTTCGGATGTTGTGGAGGTAGTAAATTTAAGTGAGTTTATTAGGGAAACATAAAATTTACCTTTTCTCTGTTAGTTAGATGCAGTTAAGTGGTATGTAAAATTCTTATATCTAATCACTTAGATTGTTTTGCTCAAGTCATGTCCAGATAAAAAGCTTCCAGGATGTTACATTGTTGTTTACTGATGAAAAATCTGAACTTTTGCAAACATTTGTTTAAGGCTGTGTAATTACATGCATAAGGAGTATACAGTTATTTACTCCAATGTTTAAGTTGAGTCACTAGATTTAAAAAAATGCAAAATGATTACTTACTTTACACAGGTAGCAATGCGAGCATTATTACAGTCACGGTACAGTCCCTTCTTTGCAGTAATGTCCAGATGAAATCCTTCTCTTGGAGGTGGTGTGTTAACATTGTAACGAAGGGATGTCTAGAAAACATTCAAATTATAACATGCATGTCATCGTGCTGTGAAAATGGATGAATTTTTATGTCTAGTGCAGTATGTAAAAGCTAGTATGGAATAATAAGAAAAAATAATGTATCATTTATAAAAGGTACTCACTTGTACAAGACCACAACCACTTCCTGTAGCCTTAAAATCCACTGGACTGGGGACAGTTGGTAGACGGAAAGTCTGCATTAAGATACTGTTATCTTTTGTAAGCATGATCTTCTTTTGAAATCCACTAGTTTCAACTCCTACTTCCAAGTTTAACTCATCTTTGTAAATAAATGTAGCAAACTTGGCCATAGCTTGTAAAGCAATAACAGTATCCTAAAATACGAAAATTAGATAAAGCAGACTAAAACAAAACACCTTTACTATGTGTTAACATTAAAGAAATAACTATTTCTTATAAATGTGAAAGACATTATGAAAACAATTACCTTCGTTTGATAGTTTCAAATAAATTTCACCAAACTATCAGTACTAAAGTGCTTTTTGCTAAAGAAACTTATGAATATTTCTTTGAATAATCTTGAGAGTCGTTATTCAAAAAAAAGTGCCTTATTGAATATTTAACTGTAAAGATAATAAAATGTCTACAATGATAAGTTTACATAACTTCAACTAAAACCAAATTGTTATATTTATTACTGGATGCAAGCTGTAAAACATTTAGTGGTACTTTCCATGTCCTATTGTATAGTTTTCATGCACAGCATTTAAGCTATGCTTTCTTGCAAGCATTTTGTGTTAGCTTGATAAATCATGATCTATTTGGAAACATTTTACATGGTCAGACAAAAACACACATGTGAACATAACTTTATTTAATAAAACTACATGGTGTTGCGTCATCGAGATCATGTGATTCTCACGCTCTCTACTTTCTAGAATTATCCTGTACTTTGGCGAATGTTCTAGTTCTTGCTGGATATAGGGTGGTCCTGTATATAAAAGAGGGGGACAACGTGACAAGGTAATGTCTGTGTAGATAGTGAGTAATTGAACTGCAGTCAGAACTATTATTGACGTTCGTCGTTATAGCGTTTGTTTAGCGCGATTGTTGAAGTTGAGTGTATCGGTAAAGTTATATTCGGAAAGAATAAACCAGTTTTATTAAGTAAAGACTTGTGTCGCTTAAGTTTCGTCGGAGACGTAACAAATTGGTGTCAGAAGTGGGATAGAAAAAAAAAGAAGAAAAATGGAAACGAGAGGCGGAAAATCAAACTACAGCT